CCAACTTTGATATTTTCGGGCAATGTTTGCAATGTTCGCATGCCGTCGGGCATAACAGTATTAGCGGCAGTCTGTTCCGATTCAGAAACCGTTGGCTCAGACCCCTACACCTACCGTCCAGTTAGAATATGTCCAAGCCCGAATAGAAGCTTTACAACGGTTCGCTGTCTGCGGAGGATATTGTCAAAAGCTCTGAGACCGAGGAAGTACTAAGCGCTTGATGACGACTGTCCCCTAATTATCTTCGATCTAAATTTGGTAGACATAAACTTAATCGACGCCCATGCTCAACGAATGTGGGGAATCTTTGTGCAGGAATCGCCGTAACATGTCTCCTACAAATCATCGCAGATTTGCCTAGTCATCCAGCCTGATAATCTCCACTCATGTAGAGACGCAGAGACAGAGGTCACTGGGGGACGAAGCTACGTTTATCGACGCTTCTTGTCTCGTTGAACCCCAAACACTGCTCCGGGGACCACCGTTTGATCGGTCTCCTTTCGGCATTGTACGCTGTCCATTGCGATTGCGTGTTCGGTCCTACTGGATGATCGCATGCCAAAGAACATACCCCGACGCACTCAAGTCTGCTGTGACAAAAACAATAAACAAATTTCACATAAAAAAACGAAAAATTTCGACAACATTACCTTCGGCGCCCCTCAGAACCGCGTTTATCCTTCAACTCAGCATAATTATGTGATAAAGTGCAAACCACTTATTTTAGTGCTACAGTACGCTCTGGTCCGTTCATTAAGGGTACTGACTACATTGATGACATGTCGATGGATAAAATTTCGGCAAACTTCAAGTGTGTGGAAAGAAATGCTCTCCGAAATATGTACATTACTGCCTCAGGCTTCGTGGCCGAGGATATCCTCACGGTCACGACATATAGTGATACTTTTGGATTGGTGAATAACTTCTCCAAGTCCGTTTTATTGAAAACAAATCGATTTTCTGATCAACCAGGTGTACACGACCTTTATCAATTTCACGAATAGAAGCAAATATGCGTGCCCCAGGTTCTTGTTGTAAAGAAGAGGAAGGCGCGATCTCTGGAACGATAGTTTTATTCTGAGCTTTCGGCTCCACATGAGAAGCCATT